GAGCAACTCTATTTAAGCTGTCATAATTAGTTTGGATCTTGGCCTCTAGATGATCTTGTCCAAATTGGCTGCATTTGAAGATAGGAATCTATATCAAAACCAACCTGACTGTCCTATCTATTCAGATAGGTGAAGCATACTCTTAGGCAAGATTTTTTTTTTAATCTATCATTGGCATCAACACTGTGTCATTATCAGCCTAGGCCTACACATCTCTTACGCAAATGAGTAGGATGCCTTTGGCTGTTCTAGAGAAGAAGTTGGCAAGATTAAGTCCGTCATTCCTCTCCCTTGCAATTGGGAAGCACCCAGCTGAAATGTCATGTCTTGCGTATGTAGTAGAACAGTCATATATTAAGGGAAAGTATTGTTTTTCTTTTTTCTCCGTTTGGGAGGCACTTCTCTTCAAAAGTAATAAAGGAGAGTGATGTTTGCATTTATGATTCTGCCACAGTGGTAAGCAGAATATTGCAAAGTTAGGAAAAAGATAGCATAGAACTTCAGTTTGATAAGGCTTCAATGTGGCTGAGTTAACTGTAATAACCACAGCTGAGGTCATAACTTAGAATTCTTCTGACACCAGTTCAGTATGCCTCAACTATCTCAGAAAAGTCTCCATGCCTTCAATTATATTATTCATTTATAATTTCACACTTAAGGTGAATATTATAAGGGCAAACAGAGTTAGATTACACATACTCTCTGTGATTTAAGTATCTGTTCTGCAACTCCTACCAATCTTCAGCCCCCAACATCTTCTTTTTTGCTTCATGGAAACTGGAAAAAAAATCTTAACTTCTTTTTTCATAGATAGAGCAATATGGACATAGTCATATCATACACTTAGTTACAGGATCCTTAGTCACGAGGAATTAATGAGCATATATGCTTGTCTTTCTTAGGATTTGTACAAAATCTAAAATCCAAATTCCAGACAAAACATGACATCCTGATCATGCATTACAAACAGATGGGCGTCTTTCTGCAGGAGGTAACTTTTAGCTCTTCCCAAAAAAATCAGAACAGAGGACTGTTCTAGCTTTGTGAAACAAAGACAGAGATTTTAAAATTAAATGAAGTTTAGTTTTAGTTTTAAATGAAGTATTTTAAAGACTCATAGAGCTTCTATGTTGGAGAAATACAGTAAGAAATTGTTCCAATAAAAGAGAATATATAGATCTCAGGGTTGAATTGTGGAGTCCTTGGTGTTCTCTGAACTTGGCATTTTGCTTTCAGATGTTTCATTACCCAATTAGGTGACATCATCAGTGATAGTAAGGATGGGGTTTTCTCTCTGTTTATATATAGTAGCTACAGAACTACAGCAGCTATAACAGCTACAGTACATAAACTATACGTTGTATATGTATCGTGCACACGTGTAATACGTATACAGCACTACAGTTGCTTCTGTATATAAACAGGGAGCAAACCTCACACTCACTAGTTGGTTTATAAAACATCTGTAAGCAAACAGCTAAGCTCAGAGATTACCAACGACATCACAAGAAATTGTTCATTAAAATAATAATACACTTAGCTTCCAAAGATTTACAGAATAATACAAGCACGGAGAACGGAAAAGTTTTGCCATTTGTGCAATTCATGTTGCAGGCAATATTGAGCAGAGCTAAAAACAATTTCACATTCAATAATCCACCTAGGAGAGGATCACAATTTTCCAGGAAAATGCTGTAATATACCCAGCTCTAAGAAAATGAGATGTCCTTGCTGCAAAGGTAAAACTATAGTGAATCACAAATGGGAAAATCCTTTGCACCCATCTGTGGCACTGAAAATGCATTGTTTATGGAGTTGATAAAGCCATAGGCCAATGCACACTTATTTATGGATGATGCTTGACTGATTTTACTTCTAGCATGATTGGATCGCATGATTAGAGCTCCTTGGTGAACAGGGCTAATTCTCAGAGTCTTTGCTTATTAAGATCCAGTCTAGGCTTGACAATAATTGCAAACATCTCTCCTTAATACTTGGGTTATTTATTTATTTATTTATTTATTTATTTATTTATTTATTTATTTATTTATTTATTTATTTATAAAAAGAAAAGCAGTTTGGGGAAGATGTGATCGGGAAGGAGTCTGTTTAATTCTTTCTCGTCTTGCTTATGTTTTCTTCAAATTTTTCAAGTCATTTTCTCCTGGATGGGGGAAAAAGATAAATAATCTTTTTCTGTAGAGATTGGAAAGCAGCTTGGATAAAGATCTAAATGGAAAAATGGAAGAAAAGCAAAGAGTTAAAAAAAACCATTCCTTATGTTATTCTTCTTTTCAAGCTTACATCTAGTTGCAGATGTTATTCATTAAAAAAAAAAAGAAAACCCAAACCATGGGTCAAAATAGAATACTTCAGGTATAGTTTGGCCCTGCAATTCTAAGATGTCATGGGGATATTTCTAATTAAACCTTTCTCTAGAAAGTGTTTCCTATCAAATATAGGTACTAATAAATAAGTATTATGATGCAGAGCAGCATGGTGCGGGTGTAGACAATTCAATTTGCCCTCAGGGTCTGCAATATTCATTTCAAGTTTTTTTTAAAAAATCTAACCCTGAACTCAAGAGTTTTTTTCTTTGCTTCTTTTTCTAGTATATACAGAAAGATTCATTTTTATAAAATTCTCTCCCCTCCCCATTTTTTTAATAAGTTGTAAACCATTTTTTTAATATTGAGAATGAGAGAAGAATATTTCCCTTTTTTTCAAGAAATGGTAGTGACTTGGTGTGGCAAGAAAGAATGCACACATTTACCTATCATCATCAAATGGGGAAAGGCAGACATATTAATCTATACATGTAAATGCATAAATATAAATACAGCAGTGGATATCACTGTAATCATGTTTACCTCCTCAAATCTAACATCTGTAGGCTGTTGCTTGCCATATAGTTACAAGCTCTCCTTGCTTGTAATATGTTTACATACATGCACGCATACACACACACACACACAGCTTTTCAAGTAGAGAAAGGCCAGAAATCTTTTTGTAATCAGTGTTGGTACTTTTTAAAATTATTTTTGTTCGTTTAATCGGGAATGGTGGGAATGGTGCTGGTGTGTGTATGCCAACAGAGAAATGTTAAGCATCCAGTGGTGGTTTCTGATTTAAGCTATTGTCTTTAAACATAAACATACCAAATTTCGGTATCATAGTCTTAAGATGGTCCACAAAAATGAGAATGGAGCAGATATACCCTCTACTTATCCCTGAAAACTTGACATATGTCCATGTTATTCTTGATTTAAGTTGCATTGCATTTTAAAAAAAAACAATCTTCACTTATTTTTATATTAAAAATCAATATTTTAGTGACTATATGTATCCAAGGGATGGTAGAGGACAGGAAGGCCTGGAGGTACATTGTTCACGGAGTTGCAATAGGTCAGACACAACTTCAACTAACAACAACATTTATATATCACATTAAGAACACTTCTAATGCAATTCAAAAACAAAGCAATAAATCAAAGACTAATACAATAATCATGTGACTAAAATATCCTCATGGACACATTCCTTAACCCAACCTATGAGAAAAGAGCAAGGTTGTCCAATATCATAGGGTTCTGTAGAAGAGATAATGGCCTTGAAGGACAGTGGTAAAATCTATTACCAAGACAGCAATCAGACAAGTACTGTATAGCTTAAATCCATGCCAAGGAACCAACTTGAGAAAATTCATCAGACTGGTCTATATATCTAAAGGACAGGTGGCTGAGTTAACAATCCCAAGGAACCTGTCCATCTCTTCAAACATCTTCCAGATACTACCGCAAGATGGTGTGTCACTTAACTCACAAGAACTTGCCTACTCAGTCTAACTATGAATGGTGTTTTCCTGATCAGGTAAAGCAGTGTATGCAGAAGAGATTTGAAGGTCTTCTTGACAGCCATGCAAACATATATTTCTTCAGACCTTGTCTTGGTAGAAAAATATGTTACCATGATTTGTGCTGCCCTGATGGCTCTAATCCAAAGCACTTCAGTAATGAGGATTTTAGTTTGTTCTGTCCTTAGAGCTTTATGTGGAACACTTTAAGAGTGCCTTTTGCTAGACTCTACTAGCTTATTTTCTCCTCCTTCCCAGCGTCAGTAGATGATATGAAAATCACCAATCCCTTCCTTAAAATATGGTGGGATGAGTTTGTATGAGTACAGACAGTACCTGCAATGGAGACTTTAGCTCCCTTTCACGCATCAGGAATAACAAGTTGTCAGTGTAGAGTTGCTCTGTAACAATAACCTGTCATTCGGGCTATTTCTGAACATGGGTTGGGAATTATGTGCCCAAAATATTTAAGGTTCAGTTCATCATTAAGTCTCCTAGCAAGCAGTTTTACTTTACCTGACACTGAATAATTTGTTCTTGCAATTCAAGGTATTGTCAACCATTTTCTCCAGTGCCACAATTTAAAAGCACAATTTTTCCTTCGTTCAGCCTTTCTGAGGGTCTACATATCATAGCCATATGTTACAAGTGGGAAAACCATGGCTTGGCAACATATAATTTTCTGTCATTGTGATGTCTCTGCATTCTACTATTTGTCTTGATTTGTCATGGTCTTTCTGCCAAGTGGCAGATGATATTTTATTTCATATTTACAGTCAGCAATCCTGAAAATGTTTGAGCCTGTATTTACACACCCATCTAATTCTCTTGCCGCAGTTCAAAAATAGTTTTCTACAATTTCTTTTGGGGGATTGTTTTCTTCTTCTTTTAATCCCCCCCCTCCACCTTATAGTTCTGGGATTTCCTAGCGCTGTCCAAATAAAAACTAAGCAGTCATGACCCCTATTTGCTTTCTTCAAGGTCAGCCAAAATCTAATTTTGTACACATATACTGACAAAAGGAAATGTGACTATAATATTCTCCCTTTTTTATTTTCATCAAAAGTCAGAGGGGAGTTTACTCATTTTCACTTGCTGCTCACTTGCTTTATAAAAGCTTTGCATGATTGGTCTTTCTTCCTTTTAGGGCTCTGGCCGATATCCTCCGGCAGCAGGGACCAATCCCCATAGCACACTGTGAAAGAGAGACTATCTCGGCTATAGATACCTCCCCCAAAGACAACACACCCATCCGAACATCTTCGAAAAACCACTATACGCCAGTGCGCACCTCTAAGACCAACCCAGGTAAGACCGGCACTTCTTCAGCACTTGTATTAAGACACTAAGTGACTTATGTATGGGTTCTGAGCAGGGGTGGGTTCCTACCGGCTGAACAACCAGTTCGCTTGATGGACGCTTTGCATGCACAGTTTAGCAAAAATTGAACTTCCGCATTGCAAACAAGGAAAGGAGCAAAGAAAGCATCTGATGGGAGGCAATTCGATCTGCCACCACTGATCAGCTGGGCTTTGGAAGAAGAAATAAAGGTCAGTATAAAGCTATTGTCAGTATAAAGGTCTTGAGGCGGGTGGGAGGGCCCACTTTCACGGAAACAGAGAATCGGCTCGCTCTCGGCTTGCAGTCAGAGCTAACGGTTCTGCCGAACCAGACCGAACCTGTAAGAACCCACCACTGGTTTTAAGGGAGCGGTAGAATATTATTAGTGCTATATTTATTTGTGTGTGTGTATATATGTATATATGTGTGTGATTTATTTGTATGTTTCTTTGTTTATCAATTTTTGAAACCACCTATCTCCCTCACAAAACAGCTCTGAATGGTGTACAAATAAAATTATATACTGGATCTGAGGACTGAGGAACTTTTTTTGAGTTGTATTTGAAGATGTAGTTGCATTTAAATAATAGTACATTCTTTTGCTAAATGAAGCTCCTACTGATACTTATATATGCCATTACTCTTTTATGAAATCCCAACATTATTCATAAGAGTAAAATAAAATCAAAAGCATACATTTATAATTTATTGTAATAACACTAACAGAAAGACCAATATAAAAACAATACATTTTTAGAGACGGTTTTGTGATTGAGTTTGCTACAGACAGAGGATCATAAGTCTCTGGAGTGGCTCACTGGTGTACACTGTGGTCCTATTGATGATATGATGACTTACTGAGTCATGTTTAGCTGTTGCATGAAATTGATAAAGCCAGTAGGCATTCAGTTATGATCTTGCAGTAATAAGATCATTATTAGGCTAAAAGAAATTAAGGTGCAGAAGCAACAACAAGCAAATTGCACATGTTTAGGAGGTAGAAAATATTATGAATTGCAAATGAATTGTGCAACATGTGTCTGTTTGAAAAACATGACCCAAATCTTCATTCAAGCACAGCCTTCACTCATGCCCCCTGATCTCCTTTTTCTGGGAAATAAGACATACTTCATATTCTCCATTCCTTGAGCCTTTGGAATTATAATAGCATGCTTTATATGGAATAAGATGTTCTGGTTCAGTCAGAAGTGATAGGGCATAACATATCATTGGGTGCAGTTTTCTGTCTGTGATCATCTGAGAAGTCAAAGCAGTTGATTTCCACAAGTTTTGTAGGAGGCACTGCAAATTTAAGATACCCACTTCTATGATATTTCAGAGATTTTTCATTTGGATCTGAAGAAATTTGTATTTATTATATACAAGATGTGGGAGATGATCAGGCTGAGCCTGAGGGAGGGGTCAAATGCATCATTAGTCTTTGTGTGCCCACAAGAGATCTAAGTCCAGCCCACCTTGAATTCCTTTCTTAACTCCCACCCACTTCCTTGAAACACTAATAGTTCAGATTCTGGTAGATAGCTTAAGCTTGCAATAAATTTCTCTGGCACATGCCATAAGAGTTGCTATACAAAAGAGCTGAAATGGGATCTATTCAAATTTAACAGTTATGATAAAATAAAGATGTAACTAAAGGATGCTTACATAATATATTGTAACAGATGTAAATGTTATACAGGGGAGTCAAACTAGCGTCCCATGGACCAGATGCATCATTTGTGGGCCACGCTCATCCAGCTCTGCAAAGGCAAAAAAAGTCACGATGTATCACGTGATATGATCGAGTTTGACACCAGTATTATAAGATATTGAGGCCAATGAGATAAAATGTTAGAAGTTGTAACCTCTTCTCCTATAAGCCCTCTGGGTCTCCACACTGTGCTTCCACACCGTGCTGACCATGTAAGCATAGAGACATGGTGATAGAGGATTCATCCCTTCCTCCCTCGGTTGGCAGATAAATCAAACTCATAGGAAATAAACAAAATCAAGTTTTATTTATTTTTTCTTAAAAAGTACGTTAAGAACTTTTGTCAAACTTGCAAATGTTAAAATTCAGCCATTCAATGGGAAAGAGATAATTACAAAGCAGCCTAGATTATGGTACAATAGCAGTATGCAAATTACTTGGGAAAAATAAATTACAAAATAAAACACAGAACTCCAGAGAGAATAAAAGAGAGTGCAGGTGTAGAAACAAATGAAGAATTGTCTACCCCAAATATTACAGATTCCCTGAAGAACAATGACCATAGCCCTAGAGGTTTAAGAAGCCAAAATCCAATTTTGTAATTTGTTGATTGATTAAATGCTATCAACTCCTGGTGACCATAAAGATAGACTTTTCCAGAATCATGTATCCCCAATCCAGTCTTTTGGGTTTTCCAACAGCATACCAATGGCCACTGTAGTTAAATCCATCCAGCTTACTATTGATCATCTTCTTCTTCCCATTCCTTCTCATTTCCCCAACATTAGGGACTTGTTCAGAGAGAGAAACAAAATGAGATTTAGTACAATAAAAAAACAGAAATTAAAAATCATAGGACCAATCCTAACTATATACTGCATATTCATCATTTTTTACAATGTAGCTTTGAGATTGTTAGAGCTTTAAGGCAGTTCCTCACAAAACTTTTTTCTATGAATTTCTTCCATGTTTTTATAGGGACTCTAGCAAAGGAAGTGTCTGGGGTATCTATGTACTTCTGTAATAGCTATTGTTCACTCATGAGGAGGCACATTTTTGTCTGCAGTCTGGCATGTGTGCTATGTTCAAGTATATGTATTTGAAGGGAAAATACTTCAGCTGAAGGAGATTTTCAGCTGAGAAATAGCAGAGTGGAATGTATGTTGTTATATTGGCTACTGACCCATAGGAGGCACTGTGCAATTGGCTTCATTCTTATATTGAGACATTTATGGAGCACAATGGTGGCCTAGTGGTGAAGACGTTCATCTCTTACTCAGAAGGTTGAGAATTCAATTGTAGGTAGTAGCAAACATTTCTTTCTTGGGGCACAAAGAAAAAAATCTACTATAAACTCCATATAGGCATCAGGAAGGGCATCTGGCTAGTAAATGCTCAGGTTCATTCAGCCATATGGACTCAACCCAAATTAAGGGATTGCAAAAAGAAAAAAATATTGAGACATTCATCAGGCTTAGGTATCCCCCAAGTTCCATTAACTGTACTGTGATTTACCTTCTGTGGGATTCACAATATTTATTTGTGCCTGGAAACATAAGTGTGGTACTCTTTTAGAAGATGTACACTTGTGTATGGAAGAACTTCAGTACAAAGCCATTATATGAGAGAATTATTAAACCCTGCGCCTTCCTAGCTTTCTGTGATACACCTTCTGTTCAAGCTGTTGTCTCTTAAAATGAACACTACTGAATTTTAAATGCATGTTGTTTGTACATCATGTGCCATCAGAGTCAAAACAAGACAATCTCTTAAAAATCAGAACATTAAGAAAACATTATTGCTGGGTACTCGGTGAACGTTGCCCAGAAAGCACAGGACTAGGATGAAAATGAAGTCAGAGCTGTAGGCTTGAAATAAGTCATTTTTCATCCTTCATAAAATTATAGTTGTGAGTAGTATCACAACTATAATTTTATAGTATCTGAATCAACACTGAATGTAAGATAAAAAGTTTAGTTAAATAGTAACTCTGTATTATATGTGTCTAGAGTTTTGGGAGATGAGACTGATTAGTCCATGACACAATATAACAAGAGTAATTGGCAGTAATGTTATTATTGGTGTTATTGTTATAATATTCTTAAATTCTTTCAGTAAGAATGGTTAATCATCCCATTTGGAAAATAACTGAGACAATAGCCAGTACAGGAAAGATGGGTACACTTTTCTCATTCTAGTTTATCGGGCAGTTCAAAAAAACATAATGAAAGACATACTTTATTTTGATACTGATTTTCCCTTATTCTTTCAAACTTACCAAGATTTTTTTAAATAGAAAACATCCCTCATCACTGACTATATAAACTATGTCAGCAAATAAATGATATAGAATCCTGTGTGAGTAGCCACAAATCCCTTCCTAAAAATAATGGTGGCATTGTAGAAGTATTGGGTATTTATTGGATTTTTATCCCAAGTTTATTACTTTATAAGTAACTCAAGGCAAGGAACATTCCTAATACTCTTTCCTCCTCCTATTTTCCTCACAACAATAATTCTGTGAGATGGGTTTAGAGGTGGGTTGCTCCTGGTTCGGCCCGGATCAGGGGAGCTGGTAGTAGTGGCAGCGGGAGGCTCGGCCCGCCCACCCAGATGCTTCTGTGTATGCGCAAAAGCTTCTGAGTATGCACAAAAGATTTTGCACATGAGCAGAAGCATTGTGCATGCGCATGAGCATGAGCAAACTAGTAATAAACCGGTTAGGAACCCACCACTGGGTGGATTGGTCTGAGAGAGAATGACTAGATCAAAATCACCCAACTGGCTTTGATGTGTAAGGCAGAACTAGCACTCACAGTGTCCTAATTTCTAGTCCAGTGCCTTAACCATTATACCAAATTGGCTCCCCTGTGTCCTTTAATAGGAAGAGGTCATTGGTTCAATGTCATAAAAGACTGAGAAAATTGCTGATTATTTGAGGATTTTAAATACTAACAAGCTGCTTTCCTTACAGAAGGAAAGTCCAAATTTTCTAGAAACCTTCTCGACCTTTTGGCTAAGATCAAGTGTCGTACCTAGAAACCTGAGTATTAACTATTAACTGATAAAATATCCTAGCAATTCTAAGAGTTATCTTCTACTAGCAACCAACGCTATGTTTTAAGTTAGTTTCTTCATTTGTTTCTAGAGGGAGATGTGATTGCTTGGAATGATTATGTTAGTCTGTTTAATGACCCCAGCTGCCAAATGAAAAAGAAAAAAGAGATTCTGTGAGTAACTTGAATTTTGCTTCCCA